GGCCGGGGTGCAAAGCTGCGGCTGCTGTCCTAGCTGGGTCCTTGCTCTCCTCCACCCTCCAAGCCGCGAGGGTCGGGGCGCTGGAGGGCTCCCCAGCGATGCCGCTGCCGGAGGACGTGATGCCGGAGAACATCAGCGGGGCTGCCGAGGAGGCTCAGGGCAATGACTCCTTTGAGCACGCGTTTTTCTCTCTGGATTATCAACATGTTCAAGTCCCCTTTGAAATCACGCTCTGGATCATGCTTGCGTCCTTGGCCAAAATAGGTAAGGCACCTTGAGAGGGTGAGGAAGGGCAGGGGTCTCCGTGGGGATGGTGGTCTTTGCATCACCTCTTCTCCAGTCTTGGAGCCTGGGATAACACGCCAAGTCCCAAGGATGCACATATACTACCCGGTTGCCTTTTAGGGTGGAAATGATGGGTTTCCATCTGGAAGTTCACACCCGTGCACGGCGTTGCTATTAGTAGGAAGACTATCAGGGTCTCCAGGGATTTTATTTCACTGCATTGCACACCAAGCTGTGCATTCTTCGCGATTAGCTTGCCAGCTGCACTACATGCAGGTTGTCCGCTGGCATCTTCATCTGAAGATGAAGACTCCCTGGTCTTAAAAAAGGGTGCTGCGTCCGGCCAGCCGCAAGGAATAATTTAGTCCATGTGCAGTGTATTACACAGCCTAAAATAAAATCTCTCTGCATCAAGGAGGTTATCTGTGTAACAACACCTAATTACATTTTGCATAACTTGGACCTATCTTTTTTTTTTTTTCCTGCAAAACTGGGCATAGGAAAGTGAAAATTATATATTCTTTTTTTTTTTTTCCAGAAATTGTGATCAATTCTGTTAAATTACTACTATAAAAGTTATTTTATAGCATTTTTTTCTTTTTTTTTTTTCCTCAGAAGGCAGAACTCTCTGAGATTCATTTAGATCAGAATTTCTTTCAGGTGGAAATGGTCTTTTAATTCGCTATTCTGCATATTACATGATGAGATCTCAACTTTGCTAACATGCATGAAGAAATAATAATGATCACAGATTTTTTTTTATTATTATTATTATTATTCCTGTTCCCGTTTGGTTTGTTTCAATTACTTTCTCTTAATAACTCACCTCGAGTACTTGTAGTGGTTGTCAGCATTTCTAACATTGGGTGTGGCAACTTTTTTCAATGTTGCCTTTAGCTTTAAGTGTTAATGGTTAAATAATATTAAAAGTGGAACCATTTATAATTAGTGAGAGTCCTTTTTGTATTTTTTTTTATGTATGGAATCTGTGTTGTGTTTAAAATTAGCAGTTGCTATTTACATTAGTGCTGAAGATGGCATGCTAACTAGATTACATCATAAATAATTCTAAATACCTTTTTATTTACACAGATTATTTAGGTTTTCTATTTGTGTATTACCTAAAAATACATGTTTAATCTTATGCTATGATGAAATGCAGTCTGAACCAACAGTAATTTTAGAAAATTTGGTATTTTCAGTAATCTTTCAGATTTTCTAACCATTTTCTGATTGAGAGATTTCACCTTAATTGTGCGCATTTATCACTACTACTCCAAAGCGTAGCCTGCTGAAGGTGGGAGCACGGGAAGCTTCCTCACTGCAGCAAGGAGCTGGTTGATGCTCTTCAGCCAGTTTGGGCTGATGAGATAATACTTTTTTTTTTTTCCCCCCTATTCATCCCCTTCCAGGGTTTCATCTATATAACAAGCTGCCGACTGTCGTTCCCGAAAGCTGTTTATTGATATTTGTAGGACTCATCATGGGGGGAATCATCTACGGCTTAAACGACAAGTCACCGCCTGTTATGGACAGCGACATCTTTTTTCTCTACCTGCTGCCACCCATCGTCCTTGACGCGGGGTACTTCATGCCCAGCCGTCCCTTTTTTGAGAACATCGGCACTATCCTCCTCTATGCGGTCGTGGGGACGATATGGAACGTGTTTGGGATCGGCTTTTCCCTATACGGGATCTGCCAGGTGGAAGCCTTTCACTTGCAGGACGTGTCGTTGCTCCACAACCTCCTGTTCGGCAGCCTGATCGCCGCTGTGGATCCCGTGGCGGTGCTAGCGGTCTTTGAGGAGATACACGTCAATGAAAAGCTGCACATCTTGGTCTTCGGCGAATCGCTCCTGAACGACGCGGTGACGGTGGTAAGGACTAGCCTTTATTTTGAGTCTCTAATGCTGGAGGGTAGGATGGCCCTGCAGAGGGACCTGGCCAGG